TATTTTGTAATTTGCTTCAAAATCTAATGTGTTATCTAGATAGGATATTACTAAATTGATAAACTTCTTTGTAGTGAGTGGTTCTTTGTAATCTTTCTGAAAGTTATTGTAAAGTTCGTATAATAAACCACTTTTGATGAAATCAAAGTATAAATCTTCTGGTCTTGAATCATGTAATAGTCTTATGAAATTATTTACAACACACCACAAATTTAATAAGTTAATTACATCTATTTCATATGTTACTTTTTCTTGATATTTGTTTCGTAACATATCTTGTAATCCATTTTTTTCAAGTGCTCCAAGCGAAAAGACTTTTTTAATCATAGCGAATATGTAACTGTCAAAATCGTCTCTAATCATTATGTCTTCTAATATCATATTAATGTACTTGGTGGCAGCTTGATATTTGTCTTTCAGGAAAATATTTTCTAATGATTTATTTTTGGTCATAACTCTCAGTAGAAATTTACTTCTGTACATTTTTTTGATTTCTGGGAGTGATTCCAAGGGTTCTGTGTTTTCAATATCACTGATTTCAAAGGTTACCTCATTTTCGTTTTGTGATAGAAGCACTGTTTCAAAAACTCTCATTTTTTTGACATAGTTAAAGAAAACTTCAGTGAAAATAATGTTGAATCTTCTGTCAGTACACATGATGCTTCTGGCTTCCTTTTCCACATTTTCATCTTTAAGTATGTTTTCAAATATATCATCGATAACATGTTTAAAGATAATCCTTAATACGTCATCGTTGATTTCAGGAATAATCGATTTAGCTGTTTCGATGATTTTTTCATCCTCAGTGATGAGAGATGGTTTCACCACATCTTTATCAACAACTGTTAGATCAATCACCTCGATCTTCTCAGTTCGTCTTTCTGGTTCTTTATTGACTTCTTCATCATCATTATGCAAATTAACAAGCACGCAAAATTTCAGAAATAGCATTTTTCGCCTTTTTTCTCTATCATCCTTTTTTTCTCTCAAATCTCGAAATTTATTCCTTTTGCTGAAAGTGTTCTGTTCGAATTCGATAATATGATTGAAAGATATTTTTTTAAAAAAAACTGGTTTTATTTGTATTTGCGATTTAAAATTTCTGATTCTTAAGCAATAAACAGGACCCATATTTATAATATTTTGAATTAATAACTAATAAAAATATTGACTTATACCTATAAAAATAGCATTCTTTCAAAAGACCAAATCTAGACTTTAATAGTGATGCTTAATATACAAATCACATATATGCTTATTAATCTTAAAACATTTTGTATATAGAATTTCAAATTAAATCTATATTGAAAAGATATAGTATACGATAAATTAACTACTTGGAAATGTGCAAGAATATTTGTTCAAAATTGTTCTAGCTTTAGGAATCATTTACATCTAAAAGTTTTTTTT